TTTTCTACAATGGAAAAGTATCACTTCCATAACCAGGGGAAAAATATATTATTCAAAGAAATGGACTTATCCCAAAGAAAACCGCCCTTTTCCAAGCGCTACTATTTTTACAGTAGCCCAGAGCATGGATGGAGAAGTGACTACGAGGAAGGCTCCAGTGGCCACACCCTCCAAACTGTTTCTACCTACACACCAGCAAGGCTTCTACATGGTTAAAATTGTGTCTACACCCCAGGGGAAACACTACTGCGCCACTCTAGAGAACCAGCCTAACTATAACTTTACGGTTACACTGATGGTTCAAAGTCTGACCACAAAGCAGTGTCAGCAGAGTGAGTTCCGTCCATCCAACAGCAGACAGTCCTGCTCTCCACTCCCAATATCCACAGACAAGCAGCTCAACAAATGCACCATCCACCCAAACAACACTTGTAGGGTTCCAGCACTCTGTGTGATGACACATAGTGTGTTGTCCAAGTGTGTGTGCAACATGTGGGTGAGACAGGAGAGGGAGAGAAGAGTGGGAAGGGGAGGGGGGGGTGGAAGAAAAAGAATGTTCACACAAACGACTAAAAGTCTGTGCCTGGCTAATCTAAAAAGTTACAAACCATAAAATTATTTAGCATTTCCAGAATAGGGAAGAACACATCTCTTAACTCTGGTTAAAGGAGAATAGCCCCTCTGTTTCTTCTTCCAACCACTCAACATGAACATCACCAGCTTTGTCTTAGGCCTCAGTACACACAAGTAGTCCAGAGCACTTGAAACTGGTGCCTGTGAAAAGGGAGCATTGAGTTGTTCTTTCAACAGGATTTCCTAGCCTGAACTGCAAGCATAGTTATCTGCATGCATTAACCAGCGCAGATTAGTGGAGATTTGGTATGGATATGGAGAGCCATCTAATGGCCAGTTGAGTGAAAAACAGGGCCACAGCGTGCAGGGAGGAAGCAACAGGTCATGTACCTAAGACTGTTATTTTGTCTTTTATTTGATAAGTAACTATTAAGCATCTAGTAAGTCCTAGGCACCAAGCTAAGTTTGGGGGAATGCAAGGATCCAGGTCAAAAAAAAAAAAAAAAGGAAGAATTTTTCATTATTTGTAAATATATCTCATTGGAAAATGTCTTCTTCTGTTGTCTCTGTTTATGAAAAGCAAAACAAAATCCCACATTTGAATCAGATCATCTCTTAGAGGAAAACTAGATTATTTGATTTCCTATTTCAAGGCAATTGTTTTTAAAAAGCTCTAGAAATTGAATAATATTCCATGTCAGTAATTCCAAATTTGCAATACAGGCAACAGGCTTTTTCTTTGATTTTTGTAACAATTCCCCCATATTACCTCTCCCAACCCAGAGGGCTGAGGAATATAGAAATACTGCTTTTAAGGTGATTTTTAAATGAGTTTTGCTCATGTAATTTTAGAAATTAATTTCATAACATTCTTTAGGCTTATTGGCCAACTATCAGGCTCACAAACTAACTAAAAGCAAATATAAACTACAAAATTCTAAATTGCAGTCCCTAAAATACTCTCAATAATTTGTGTACAGAAACTTTTCTATACTAAGATTAGAAAAGGAGGGGCATCTGAGTGGCTCAGTTGGTTGAGTCAACTCAGTTTCCACTCACGTCATGATCTCTGTGCATGTGAATAAGTTCCATGTAAGGCTCTCCACTGAGTGTGGAGCCTGGTGGGGATTCTCTCTCCTTCTCCCTTTGCCCCTCCCCTACTTCCTCCAAAAAAAAAAAAGAAAGAAAGAAATAGAAAGGTGTGTGTGTGTGTGTGTGTGTGTTTAATTCTTGACTACTTATTACCACTTAGAAATATCAATATGTGGAAATCCTAGGCTGCTTCTTATTTCCAATTATATCATAATGCATTGCATATGTAAATGGAACATTGCAAATCACACCATCATATATGTTCCTTTTCTGTTGTAAGTGAAAGAAAACACTCTAATTTCTGTACACTGGGCACTAGAAAGGTTTGTGAGCACTCTTACGGAAAAGAGTCAATGCCTTTTTCCAGGGAGGGCTGATGACAATGCACATCACCAGACCTTGTAAGACCCAACGAGGAAAAGCAACTCAACTGAGGGTTTATCTTTAGGATTTTTGGTGAATGAGAAATATAGGATATGCCATTTATTTTAAAAGCAAAGACGAAGAAACATGAAATTATTCTGCAAACATAGTAGGCGAAAATAGGCTTCATTTATACATTATGCGCATTTCAGGGAAAGAAGTGATGGGATGGGAGGTTAGGAAGAGAAGATATGAAATTAACATGGTGCCACATGCCCTGAAGACAGCATGCCTTTCTCTGGGAAGATCTCAACTCTTGAGGTTAAAAGAACAAGTTAGTATTTCCAAAAGATTTTAGTTAAAAAATATGATAAACTGGAGCACTGGCATGGCACAATTAGTTGAGCATCTGTCTCTTGACTTCAGCTCAGGTCATGATCTCAGGATCATGAGATGGAGCCCCGCTTGAGAGTCTCTCTCCCTCTCCCCCTCCCCACACCCTAGCTTGCATGTGTGCTCTCTCTAATATATATTTAGATTATATATATGTGTATATATATATATGTGTGTGTGTGTGTGTGGTATATATATGTATATGTGTATATGTATATATATATAATAACTGTTACTATTGATACTCTTTTGTCCCCCCTCATTTCCTTCCCAAATCATCAGAGTCTCCTCCATGCAGCTTCCCACAATCCTCTAGCTCACAGCATAGCAAGCCATAAGCAAGGCATACAGCCTTGCTTTTCTAGGCCAGCAACCCTATAACACCTCTTTCCAGACAGAGTTTAGGCTGCACACCCAGGGTGGCACTGGTTACCACCCAATCCATTCTGGCTCTGGAGTCTATCCTCTCTGCCACTGTGCTAGGCTGCTATTCTATTTGGCTACACTGGTTGGGCCCACCAATGGAACTATCAGAGCCCATGAGCCTCAATGGGGCAGAGGTGGAAGCCTTATGTGTAGGGAGTATTTGGCACATACAATTAGACACGAGGACAGTCGCTGTCACCAGGATGGTGACCCACTGAGATAGTCCATAGCCAGGTAATTCTAGCTTAAACCCAGATGGACGCTGCATCATCTTCTATTACTTTAGAGAAAGATACCTACTCTTCGTTTTCTCCTTTGCACTGATCTGAACCGACTGGGACAGAAGATGAATCCAACTACATAGGGTTCTCTGCCAAGTTATTCCTTCAAAAGGGAAGCATTTTAAAGGATTCTGCTGCTTTCATTTTTAGAAAGGACATGTAATTCAAGCTGCATTTCAGAAATACATTCAGTTGAAGGCACAGTTTGCTGACCCCTCACCCTGAGCTCACTCAGGACAGTGACAGTTAAGTTGTGTCCCCCAAAAAAGATATGGTGGAGTCCTAACCTCCAATTCATCAGAGTGTGGCTTGATTTAAAGATAGGGTCTTTACAGAGGTAGTCAAGTTAAAATGAATTCATTAGGATGGGCCCTGGTACGATATGACCAGTGTCCTCATGAAAAGGGGAAATTTGGACACAGGCACTCACACCAGGGAAGACGATGTGACAAGACAAGAAGATAGCCATCTCCACACCACAGAAAGAGGCCTGAAACAGTAGCTTTCCTCATGACTCTCAGAGGGAACCAAAACTGCTGGTACCTTGATGTCAGACTTCTAGCCTCCAGAACTAGGAGAAAATAGAATTCTATTCTTTAAGCCATGTGGCATGTGGCACTTTGTTATAGCAGAACTAGATTTGGTAGCAGCTTTCTGAACACAGACAAAGAACAGAGGGGTACCCAAGAGACATGCGGATAAGCAGGTGTTTAGTTAGGCGATAGGCAGAGACAGGGACTGGTGTCCCCAAGGGAGACCAGCAGATTCCCAGGTATGGCCATGGTGGGGCATCGGAGGTGTTCACATGATCTGAACACTGAGGATCATCTGTCCTATGGAGCCAGGAGCAGTCCCCCTACCATCCCCATCCTGCTCAGCAGCCCCTGGCCATCCCAGCCCAGGGCAGGCAAGCCCTTTGCTCCAGCCCCTGCATGTAGAACCCTGTCTCCTTATGTGAACTGGCCTGTGGGTCTCTTGATGCCTACTTGATTATGATCTGGGTCAGCCTCGGCTCCTACAAGGGACAAGCATATGTCAATGTGGGTTCTCCTCCACTTAGATTAACACTTCACCTAAATGGCAGACGTATACCAAGGAACCAGTTGAACTTGAGGGTATTACCCTCTAAAAGCAGAAGTCATACTCCATATTCCTTCTCCAAAAGTCCAGTCTACCTTTGTCCTCAACCTTAAGCCTTGCCTAATAAGTTACATAGTGGCCTGTGTGCCCCCAAAGCCTCTGTGCTGCCTCCAACCACCTGTCTGACAAACACACCACCCTGCATTCTTAAATCCTAATCTCTTTGCATCCTTGATATCTGCTCTGGATCTGATGCCATGAGAGAGAATATACATACAAGGGTGCTGGGGCTGATTTGAACTCCAGAAAATATTGCATTTACATTCAACGTCCGCTTGAGTTGAGCCCTCCAGATTTGGAGGAATCACCTCCCTTACTAAATAAAGTTTAATCACTTCTATGACTTACAGAGAAAAGAGATATAAGTAAGAAACAAAAGAGGCAGTGTCATATATATGACTACAGTTTTCTTAATATAAAATGTATAGATCCTGATTCCCTTCAGACGAGATCGGGCGCGTTCAGGGTGGTATGGCCGTAGACTCCTGATTCCCTTCAAACAGCTCTCACCCTCTAGATGAAATATAGATACCCTTATTTTTAATTAACACAGGAGGAAAGGATCCTTTAGGCAAAGCTGGCTTGGAAGCACCAAATACCTAGCCATGCCAAGGATCAAATAATCCTAAATTAACCACTTAAAACCTTCACCATTCCTAGTATCATCAAAGAATATTTAATAGTGTGAAAGACATATTTGTACATTAATGTTAAAGGGGAAAAAGTGGGATTCAGGATTTTATAATGTAGTATATATATATATATATTCACATACAGTTATTTTACATATTCATAAACAAAAAAAAGGAAATACTTCAAATAATGGCATTTATAGTTGAGTAATGGATCCCAGGTAATTTCTGCACCTTCATGTATTTCCTATATTTGCTATAAAATGAGTTTGTATTACTGTTTTCATCAGATAAAAATGTTATAGTTTATCCCAACCATTTATCAATAATACACATACTTTATAAAAATATTGATTACTTTCTGCATACAAGTGATATTAAACTATTAGGTAACATTTTATAACCAAACTCAAAGTCATTACTGACCATTTACCAGAACACCCAGAAGCACAAAATACACAGCTACAATCGAAAATTCTTAAATAAAATACTTAAGTAGTTACTTGAGCAAGGATAGCTTTTGGTAACTGACTGTTTCTGTTTGCTACTAGAAACATCCTCTTCATTCATTTCCTCCCTTGCTTTCTGTAGGTGTATAAAATGACAGCTTATGTAGAAATCAAACAGGTCAAATTACCAATATTATATTACACATAATATCAGAGGGCAGAATTGCCTTCATCAAGAGTTCTGAGACCCAGAGATGAGTTTATTCAGCATTCAACCTCCAACCTCAGCTAACAAAAACAAGGAGAAAAGAACAGAAAGGTTCCCAAGCTCAGGGTTCACCCAATGTTTGCATACGACCAAGAAAAAGAAAAGTGTAAGCGGACATAACCAAAATGTGTATTAGAAGCCTCTTATATTTGTAAAGGCAAATGTTTGATTAGTTTGAATAATTCCAGTTGCATTATAGAGAGAAAACAAAATTGCATGCCAGCAGGGGCAAAGAAACGTGTAGGTTCCCTACATTATGTTTTTTAATGTAATGGCCACCTACAACGTACCAGGTACAGAGCTAGGAACATTGATGTAACTGATCCTACACCCTAGGAAGAGGCTGCAACTTCTTTCTGATGTATGGATCATGTTCTCTGTGTTTTATTTAGTAAATGTTATGGAGGCATGATTCGTCTTCCAGAAATACGTGTCACGGACAGTGGCTTAATTGCATATTATGTTTATTTTTGCTTCAAAAAAAAGGCATCTAAATTATGAATTCCCATAATGATTGAAAAGTTAGACTGTGAGAAATACACCCCACATCATTACCCATCCCTCTTTCTCCTATTCTATGCGGCCTTGTGTGAGGTCTGGTCTGTTTTTCTTGTCTACTCAGCATAACAGAATGTCATTCTTAGGAGCTGTTTCTAATAATTTAGGCTGCTCTTGCACATACCTTGCTACTTTTTATCTCATTTGTGCTTCACAACACCTCTGAAAGATGGATGGAGAAGAAATGTGATATGAGTTGAGACATAAAATGTTCTAAAACCATGCAGATCAAGATCAAATCCCACTTGGCACTTACTACTTCCTTCCATTGTCTGCTGGCAGTTCTCCCTGCCAGAAAGTAGGGAGAACTCATCCCACTACTGCCCATGCTCCATCAGGGCATCAAAAGGCTCTTTCAAAAATTCAATCTGATCATGATACTAACCCTGCCTTCCCAGTGGATCCATATCACTGACACTGCTCAGTATGTATACCAAGCCAGCGTTCCATCCCCACCAAAGCCTCCTCATGTGCATTCCCCCCACCTAGACCATCCTTACCCCACCTAGTCACCAGAAGAGTAACTCCTACCCACCCTACAAGACTCGCACAAGCATTCTACCTTCCATAAAATGTGTGTCTTAGAAAAACTCGGTTTTTAATTAGGAAAGACATTTGAATCAGTGTCTTCTTTGGAGGAGACAGGAAAGGATGGTCTTGACCCTGGAGAGAAAGTTACACCAAAGTTCAGATAATTTGTGTCTCTGCTTTATCTTCTATCTAGTGTCCACAACTCCTTTGGAAGAGGACTTGGTATAGTAGGATGGCAGTGATGTTGATTTTACCATCATGGCCTCAGAAAATAGACATGGAACCAGTCAGAGCTGGCAAGGTCTCACAGGAAAATGCATACAGAAACAAAAATATATACTTTGATAATCTCTGCCCTTGCAGAGTACACTTTCTATGGAAGTGGATCTCCCCCTTACATCACTGTCCCAAGAATTTTTGAGGAATAAAGTGGTGATTCTATGAGTTAATCTGTAAAACCATCAGATAATGAACACAAAGGAGGTTCAAGAGATAGAATAGCTCCCAGACCAGCAAGACCCTCATGACTAGATTAACATCTAAAAAAAAAAAATTGTGTTCCTTATAGAGGAGACTGGTGAGCCACAGAAGCTGCCCAACACTATGGGATTGGTGTTCCTTGACTTGAAATTTCATAATTCTAATCTCTGTGTCATCTTCACAAAGCCATCTTTTCTGTCTTCTCCTTTCCTTTCCCCTTTTCTGAGAAATGCCCACTGCAAACACCAGTGTGATTTTTGGTTGGGTAGTCACTGCCTGGGAAGCATAGACCTCATGCACTGGGCTTTGACATGCACCCTTTCCTCCTTTAATATGCTATGCCATATGCCACTGAACTGAGATCATATTGTCAAAGCTGCCTCCCGGCTACTGTCCAAAGAAACCAATAGGAATAGATCTTCACAGACTTTCTAACCTATTTTGTGTTGCTGGTTTTATTATTGCTCTTGGGTGTTTTTGCGTGATTTCCAAAGGATCTGGCTTCTTGGACAAATGGGTGGTTAGTGATTTGAACTATTTCTCTGTGATAGGAAAAGGATTTGAAATTAAGACCATAAATGTCACAATGACACTATGTGTGTGTCCTTAGGAAGTCATTTCAGCTGAAAGATAAAACGCATTCAGATGCTCTTCTCTGTGAGCTTCTGGCAACCACAGATATTCTCAGCCTGGGGATGGGCTCATTACCAGCCCACGGACCCTGAAACAGGTAAGGACTCAATGTGAAAGGATGGTTGTAAGGGCAGGTTTGTGGAACCTGAGGGGCAGGGAACTCAACAGTGCTCTAACAGAAATCATCCTGGTTTATGCTTCTGAAGTTAATTTAACCTAAAAATATATTTTTCTTTAAATATGAAGCATATGTGTCTATAATGAGTGTCTTGCCTGGCTTCCCTTCATCTTCTATAGCAAACTCAACCTAAATGCTCTCTTCCCTGTTCCTAACCAATTCTGGCCAAGCAAGCAGGAATGCAATGGCAAAGAGCTCCTGTACCTTCCTGTCCAGTCCCCTCCCCATCCTCTGTGTCACCAGACATCCATGAGACATTGTCCAAAAGTGGCAGCAGTTTCCAGAGGGAAAAAAAGTGACTTACTCTCAGGGAGAGTCCAAGTAGGGAGTGGCATATGTTTTGTGTTGCTTCTCAGACCTAACCCCCCTGGATCTTTGCCTAACAGAAAAGAGAGAATGAAATATTCTGGGAAACATGAGCAGTGGAATCATTAACTCTTAGGCACAGTGTCCTAGAAACCTGCCCCTACAGCTCTTCAGACAGGAAATAGCAATGCCATTTCAGGAAATAGCAGTGAACTTAATAACTTAGTATTTCCTGTAGAGAGGGGTAGAGAAAGAGAGAAATGACACATTGAGCTTGCAAAACCTGCAGTGTCTCATATGTGCCAAGTCTTACTTATCTACGGCTTCAAAAGTCAACCCCAGTGGGAATACAGAAACGTCACTGGTTGAAATGAATGTGTTTATGGAATATACTTCTGTCACACTGACCCTTTCAAATGCCATCTAAGTTTCCTACAAGGGTTTTGGAATATGTCATATAAACCACCAATGGCTTGAGACTAGATATTTTTGTTACGTTGAAGGGTTTCTCATTCAGATAAGGATCAGACAAAAGCCTTAAACAACAACTTTTTAAAACCTGTCTGGCCTTTTTTTAAGGTAACTCTTCATTTTCAAAGGTGAAGTATGCTGTTTTTCATGACGGGCTCTGTTGCCACCAACAGAAATTCAAAGTAGAGCTCTGAAGGTGAATCAGGTAGGATTACCTACATGCTGTTCTTGGAATTCAGCTCAGTTTATGGAAGAATTACCAAGTATTTTAATGTTCTATTTTCCAGGAAAACATAATCTATGTTCAATAGAAGGCCATGAAAATCTAAAGCAGCCATTCAACACAGCAGACCCTGTCTCTAGGCAGGACGCAGCTACATGTGAGTCAACATCTTAAAGAAATACATTATCATCATGTAAACAGGAATCCTTTCAGGAAGCAGGAGGCCAGTAGTTATTCCAGATCCTTCTACTCTGTTTCCATGCTTACCATGGTAGACCTCTGAGTCAGTCTTCTAAAGAACAAGTGTGGAGCCAGTCAGGGTGGCAGATGAAGAATTAGAGAAGAATCTCAAAGACCATGTTGAGCCCTAACAAACTGCCTTGTGTTTCACTGAAACCATGACACAGAGCTCATACTTCCAGATAAAAGTCAAGTCAGCTTTGACCCTTTCCATCAAGTTCACTGACACTCCAGGAAAGCAGAGAGTTGTCTGGATGAAACCAAAGAAACTTCTGGCAACCCCCAAATCCTGTTCCTGATAGTGGCCTATACTAAGTGAGCCTGAGAAATGTAATTTATCTTAGGAATGCACCTGGAAAACAGCAATATTATATCCACCAGGGGAAAAGTATTCCTGGGGATTAGTGTGGGCTCTGAAACTTGAGGCTTCTGGTACTTTCATAATTGTTATCCCAATTAATATAACTGCAGATACCATTCTTCTGTTCCCAGGTACAACTATGTCCTGTTCCTCCAAAGCTCATGAAGCCATTTGCTTCAACACTTATCTCTGTAAGGAGTCTTAAGGCTGATGACCTTTCACATAGACCTCTCATCTCCCAATGGTACACTGCGTTTTCTTTGCATTTCAGTCATATCCCTGACCTTGGAGGGGATGGTGTAAAGGGGAATGCCTGATTAACTTTCCATTTATAAACCAATTATTTTACTATTGGCACCTTCATTCTGAAATCACTGGCAGAAAATCTTTTACAAAACAAAATGTAATAAATGAGAAATCGATTGGAATTTTTAAAGTTTGCTTTGAACTCAGCCATTAAGAAGCAATGTCCTTTACAAAGAAAAGTCTCTCTGTAGAAGTTAGTCCACATCAGAGTCCAGCTGTGCCTCTTCTGAGGGAGATACGGCCACATCCAGTCAAGGCACAGAAATTCTTTTTCATTCATTTGCAATTGAGTTGACAAAGAAGCTATTTTTCTACCTAAAAAAAAGGAAAGGATACTTTCATGTGGATCTGCACAAGCTAAAATTGCACCAAAACTCATGCAAGGTCAATGAAGGACAACATTTTCTGCTCCCACTGCAGATTTCTTTCCCTGACTATGACCCTCCCAGACACTTCCAAGAGGGCAGCCTCCTTTCTTTCCTGCAAGTCTTCATTCAAATGCCACCTCCTGGGTAAGGACTTCCCTCACCACCCTGAAAAATATAGAGCCCCTGCCCCACCACATCCATCCACTTTCTCTAATTAACTTTTCTTCAGAGCATTTCTATACTGGACAGTCTTTACACTGTGTCTCATCTTTTATTTTGCTAATTGCATGCATATTTTCCTCTATGAGAATGGAACCTCCATGAGGACAGGGAGATAGTAACAATACCTAACCAAAAATCAGCATAGAGCAATCACTCAGTAAATATAGTGATGGAAAGTCAAACAAATGGAAAAATGGAAAATCAAAATAATATCCCTCACCATGAACAAGTAAGCACCCTTCTCTCCACTAAGGTAAACAGTATGATGAAGCCATTGTGCTGGTGAACCAAGGACAAAAATAAGAGAAGAAACCTTGTTCATGCACTTGCACACTAGACACCAAGGCTCATGCCTTCTATTCCACTTTGGAGCTGTGAGTCCAGCAACAGCCATGATCTCTGCGTACACCTCCACCTCGAGATAGAGGAAGACTCTAGAGAGAAGAGAGGAAATGTTCCCTCCTGTTTCCAGCTGGCTTACTGAGGTACTGGTCATTTGTTCCCAGGGCCAGTTTCACAAGAGTGTGCTCAGAGGGGTTCCTACGTTTGGTTTAATGTTCTGCTGTCAATGTCTTGAAATTCTTAATAATTTCACCTTTGAACCTATGTTTTGTAAGTGAAGTCCAATGGGACAATGAAGGATACATGTGAGCAGAGAAGATTCATGAAGAGAAGGGAAAAGCTTGATATTTTAGTGCCTTTAACAGCTCTTTCTGTCTACCTTTTTCAACAAGCTCTGCATGGGGCCCCAACAATTATATAGTTGGCCCCAGTTGTGTCTGTGTTATTTCTGGAGGGCAACAAAAACTTTCTATGGTGGCAAGAATACATTCTATCTTACCATGCATTCTCACAACTTGAAGGAAATATGGTCATCCTTTTAGCTAACAGTCACCACCACCAAAAAGCTCAGATTCAATTAAACCAGAAAGTACGGAGAGAAATTGAGGCAATGAATTATTTTTGAAAGGAAAGAAAAAGTAGAGAAAAATATTTTATAAAAATAATTATTGTAAATGTTAATAATACCAGCTTAGAAACTATTTATTGTTAAAAAACTCTTCAAAAAGTTATTTATTGAAATCACATGACAATATCTACTGCAAGTGCACCAGGTACTAAAAGAGAACTATTTAATCCACCTCTTCCCCAAGTGAAGAGTGGGGACTAGTAAACATAACCCAAGGCTTCTTAAATACTGGAGAGAATTTGGCCATTCAATAATTATGCAAATTAATGAAAGGCAAAGTGTATCTTTAATTCCACAACTTTCTAATTTTGAGGAAAATCTATGAACCCCCAGGTTAAGTTAAAACAGAGAAAATTTAAATCAGCTGCTGAAAAACAAGTTAGATGGATCATTCATAAATTAAGTTACCATGACATACAAATTTGTAACTTTCAAGAAATCATAGTTTAACCCCATAATCCCAATGGTAATATTTTCCTAATTGGTCAGAACTCCCCTATTTTTCTAAGTCTGCTATTTTATGTAAGAGGATACAAGACCTGAGAAGTAAAATCATATACCTCCAGGGGCCAGACACATAACACCTATGTGTGAATAAGGCTGGACACAAGACAGGAGGAGAGATGAGCAAGTGGGAGTTGCATGTCTCTCTTCTAAGGAGTATTTTGTGGTGTGTGTTAGTCTGGGTTTTCTGAAAAACAAAAACCAAGAGAGGATGACATGTATAAGTCATTTATTAAGAGAACTGCCTATGAGAGGACAAGGGGAGGAGCCAAAGGAGGCTACCAGAGATGTTGGACCATGATGTAGGTCTGACCCAAGAGGAGGAAGGAAGTTCGAGGGGATGGCTCCTGAACTATAGAGCAGCTCTACAGAAGGTTGGGCAATGCTACTGGGGAGGGCTCCAGCCACAGTCAGAGGTGTCCCATCTTTCCCAGTAATAGAGTTCCCTCTGTATCCCACCTTGCTCAGTCATGGGAAGGATGGCCTCAATGCCATCCAGCGATGGATTTCAGCACAACAGCTGGGTCTATAGAATTTCCAACCTCACCATTGGAGACCTGAGGCCATACCCATGGCTGCCATAGTGCCTACAAGATATACCTGAAGGCCAACAGTTAGAGACTCTGTCTGAGCCTCTCCAAAATTGCATTCTTCATCTTCTTGACATTGCTCCCTTGATGATCCTCTGTCATCTTTCTCCACCAATAACAGGAGTTTGGTCCTCCACTCCTCCATTCAGAGACATTGAAAAGGCTTACTAGTTGAAAAGTGGGCCTTCCATTGCTAGAACAAACACATTTTCAAAACAAGCTGTCATAATAGATCTGTCAGATGTCAGTCACTTGTGTCGCCTCCAGGCCACAAAATTTGGATCAGGTTTTCAATTTGTTCCATTTCCCCAAGGAGGTCACTGTCGGCCTTGCTGAATATGGTTCCATGGTCAGATAAGTTATGCAGAAACAAATAGCACTTTTTTAACCAATCAATTTTATACCAGTTTCAGAAACATAAAGGAATTTCTCATCTTCTCCTTTTTATACGGAAAAGCGTTCCCCTTGGGAAAGTCCCAGTGATCCTACTGCTCCTTCCATGGATACCAGAAACAGCCTCAGTGTTATATTTTAAAAGTTGGGAAGACAAAAACCCCTGGCACCACCACACCCAGGGCCTGTGAAAACATCAGCAGCAGTGTTGCCACACAGCAGGACTGAATGTACAATGGCTTATTTCCCAAGGTAGTCTCAAGTTACCAAAATCATTCTGTTGAAGGCCGTGAGAAAATAAAGAAAAAGGGTCCCTGTAAATACGGAACCAGTAAAGAGAACAGTAATGGTAGGGCATCCTTTTAAAAACACAAATGGAAAATGAAACACAAGGGAAAATTAACAGCTAAGCCCTCACAGGGGAAACGAGAAGAAAAAAGACCACTTTGTTGTTGACTGTCCAAAATACCACCTGAGAAAGCAGACTACAGTGGGCTCATCAGAGGGAAATGACAGTCTTCCCCTTCAAGAATAGGCCTAGAAAGGATCTAATAAAATCATGCCCCCAAAATACAGGATATGTGTTTTTTGGAAGAAGATGTGTGGAGAAATACTTTGTCAAGAACTAACGTGGCATGTGAAAAATAAAGAATGTCAGACTCATAAGTGAGCAACATTTTACTGGTATTGTTAACCAAGTCTGTAGTTCTCTGAAAATGCAATTGTGACATACTCTGTGTACGGCCTTTCCAGATCGTTAGTCACCTACCAGGAAGTCCAAGAATTCTCACTTTCAATGTGTCCCCCAATGAACACCCTGCCCTAATGTTTTCTTTCAGGAAATGGCAGCCCATCTGTCCAGTTGCAATCACTGGAAACCTATCCATTTAGACAACTTCTCTCCTTCACTCTTATACAATCCGCTTGGCTTTACTTTCCCTTGAATCCATCTACTTAACCCTAACTTCCACCCTAGTCCAAATGAAAGTCACTCTTTGTCTACTCTGCAGCAACAGCACTCCAACTGTTCGATTCGACTCTTGCTGCACACCCCCATCATTCTCCAAAGAGCAGCCACTGATCTTCTCGAGACATAAATGGGATCATGTTGCTCCACTGTAGTGTCAACCTGTCTAGTGGCTTCCAGTTCTGCTTTAATTACAAAGACCCTCAGACTCATTATGCCCCACAAGATCCTGCATGTTTGTACCCCCTCCCTCTCTAACATGTCCACCCATGTCCTAAGCCCTGACACAGCAGCAGCACTGCCTTCTTTGAGTTCTTCAAATAGGGTACTCTTTCTTGCCTCTGAGACTTTGTAAATACTCTTCCTTATGCCTTTGCTCCCTCTGGCCACCTATCTCTTACATTTTCTAAAGTTGAGAAGCCACTTCCTCAGGAAAGCTTTCCATGACATGTGCTCAACCACCTGATCCCAGGACTACTTACATCCTTTTTTTTTTTTAATTTTTTGTAGCATGATTGCTGTTTTAGTGTATTGTGGGGTGATTTGACTTATCTCTGTCTTTACATCTAGAGTGAGAGCAAAAACTATGTCTGTTATCTCAATTATTTCCCTCATGGCTAGCCCAATACCTGACACACAGATGAATAATTATGATGGATAGATGGATGGATGGATACATTCCTAAGTACAGGAATACTGTAAATCCATAAGTTGAATACAGCTTTCTGGGGAAGAAATAAGTTTCAAATCAAAATAGATGCTAATGGGTAAGTACATCACATTTCCAATGTTTTAATTATTTTGAAGAGGTAATACATTCACATGCTTCAAATCTAATAAATACCCACTGAGAAGATTCATTTCTACTCTGAATCCTTTCTATTCTATTCTTCACTGCCCTTATAAGTCACCCTACTTTGATCAGTATCATATATTCTTTGTGTTTCTTTACACAAAAACAAGCAAATACAAATATATATATATATGCTTATTTTCACCCCATATTACACAAAAGAGAGCAAGCCATACACATTGGCACCTTGGTTTTGTGCTGTTGCTATTGCTTAACTTAGCAACGTACTCCAAAGATCTCTCTGAATCAATTCACTGAGCATTTCCTTACTGTACTATATGACTCCATCTGGGGCATTATATGGATACAATATAGTTTGTTTAACCCTTCCCCCTCTAGTCTTTTGTTCTTTGAAACAAGATGCAGTGAATAACATTGTGCACATCTCATTTTGCACGTCCAGGTCTGATTGTAAGGTCAATTCCTGCAGAAGTGGGATAGCTGGGTC